GAACAATAACGTTTTTTTAACGTTAAGCATGATTTACTATTCGGAATATCGTTCGGCGGTTCTACGGAAAGTTCTCGGAACAACAAAACCAAGAACAATAACGTTTTCTTAACGTTGAGCATGATCTACTATTCGCTCAGCTCTATTTTGTGCAGAAGTAGAATCAAATGCAACAAAGAGTAGCAGACAATGGATTGTAGGCTTGGTTCCAGGGGAAGTCCGCAGTAAAATTAGCGTAGTCCACTTTGTTGCACCGTTGCGAAGGAAGCGCTGAGAAATGCGTTACCCAAGAAAAAAAAGAAAAACAAACAAACAAACAAACAAACAATGGGATGTAGACTGCTGAAAGAAAGTAGTGCAGTCTCCATTTCGAAAAATATTGGCTGACCGCTAACCACCAAGAATTCACAATCTAGTACTTTGGAAAGATAAAGAGCAGTTTTCGTTTGTCTGGAAAACGATACGATACGTACGGCACAGCCCTATAAGTAGCCTTGAGTGTACCATAATGGGTCAGTGTCGGTGCAAGTACTCTAAGATGTAATAAAAGATTGCTCTTTTCTACACATAACGACGGCATTCTGGGTCTCAAAGAAGCTGCATTACTTTTGAACAGCGGTTTTGCCCAAGTACATCGCAACATGATGTTCTTCTTCCAGTCAGCGGTCTTCCCCTAAGCATGACCCCGCGGCTAATTTACGGTTTTCCTCCCTTAACAAAAACAAAAAAACAAAAAACTTTTAAATCCTATTTACATAATCATCATCATCATTATTATGGACATTTTTATTTCATCTGTGAGATAAGTTACACTTTACGGCCTTGCGGGATAACCTAGGCTAAGCTGCTATCAGTGTCTTTCGTAATACCTTATCGACATTCATTATCATTCTAACAATTGCACGGGTTCTCTTTTCCATTGTTCATTCTTGCATAAGTGTTTTTAATAGCGATAAAATTGCTTTACGATTTCCGCATTCTGTGGTGATAGGATCCATTTTGGCTTTTCAGCAGCAAATATCTGGTTTCTTCTCACTTATCATCTTTGAGCGTGCTTGTTGTATGTCTGTATTTCTTGAGGTGACGTGATTTTGCACTTGGGTTTTTAGGTCTTTATGATAGTTCCCTAAAAAGTCAAATACTATGTTGACTTGTGTGACTTTGTGCTGTGGGTGCATTTGTTTTATTCCGCTTCGTAAATCTCTGTATTTCCTTTGTTTCCTGTTCGTTCTGTCTGCTATCTTTCCTATACCGCACACGGTGCCTTCAAGCAGGAGCCATCCTTTTTTTCATTCTTATATGTCATGGATGGCCATGTCGATCTTATTTGCGCCGTCTTCTGGTGGGGATGGGAGATGGAATGAATTATTATTATTATCATCATCATCATCATCATCATCATCATTATTATTATTATGTGCAGTACTAAAACGTATAGATGCAAAAAACCTATGACTTGTATAGGGCGCACAGCGTAACCTATACAGTCTAAAAGGAAACTAACTACAAGATATTTAAAAATTTATTATTATTATTATTATTATTATCATTATTATATTCATTAAATCAAAACTTACTTTAAATAGCCTGTCTTTAATATTTACTCATCGTGTTATAAGGGAGTGTGGATGAATTTTTAGGCCATTGTCAGTTAACTGTTAATAATTTTACAAGCGTTGGCCATAATATTAAATGTAACCCCAAAAACTGAAACGAAATAAAAGTTAACTGTTGTGACTAGTAATGTTAGGTTATTTGTCAGTTAACTACTAATGTTTTGGACAATAGTAAGTTAACTACTAGCCCCATTTCGAATTGGCAACCGGTTATAAAGCTGTTTCAACATCGGCTTACACCTCACTTCTGCTGTCCTAACATCCCCAACAGTTGATTATAAAATCCCATTATCAGTCCTGAGTCCTCGAACAGCTTCTTAAACTTAAGTGACACTTTCATTAGTCTCTTTAAGAGTTCTTTGCTCAGGTTAACGCGTAGTTAACGCGCCGGCCGCATCATGTTCAAACAAAATGAATACATATATATCGATCATATACTATTATATTGGTATTGGATTGCTTTTGTGTTGGGGGCTGACAATCTTAGGGTATCTTATAAAGCTAAGGAAGGAATAACCGTATAATTGCAACCATGGGGCAGCAGAAAAAGGTTGCGTTTGTTGTCATTGCTTTGTGTTTTGTTTTTATGGTCAACTGTTTTCCGTCCAGCAACAACGAGGTGAGAAAATGCTTTCTTTCTTGACTAATTTATGAATGTGTTTTTTAATAGTTTTTTTAGTTTTTGTTTCTTTGTTAGTTTTTTCGGGTCTTTCTTGATGTTGCAAGATGCCTCGTATTCTGGGTTGCCGTTCTTTGTATTGGAGGGTATCGTAGCTTTAAACCCATTTTCTCGGCTATTATTAAATGGTCTTCATGACTCTGGTGCCCTGCAACACCAAAAAAGAGCCCTTATTTCTTTTTAATCAAGGTCCAATGCTTTTGATTCAAGTTTTTTAAACTCATTTATTTTCTGTTTATTTATAAAGAGAAAACCCTCATTATTTTTGCGGAACGTTTCATAAATGCGCGCCAAATGAGGGGCGCRGATTCTGGCCAGTTTTACGGAAAACAGTTAGATTTTTCTTAATAAACCTACTCGTTTTCCACAATATGAATGCTTATACAGTGATTTTCAAGACGATTACCAGTTTGTGACGGAAAGATCTGGGGAGGTTTTTGGCTATAAAGCATAGAAAAAATTATATTCAAACAGAATAAAGCAACAAACAAAATCAATAAAAGGAATAGGAGAAGAAGAAGTAGAAGAAGAAAAATAATAATAATAATAATAATAATAATAATAATAATAACTTTATTTCTATAGCGCTTTTACCTATGTTCAAAGCGCTTTACAAACAATATAACAA